TATACAAACACACACACACACACACATATATATATATATATATATTCATTTGCCAGTCGTGTATAAGGTAAATATGTCTAGCTAAAGAAGACCGAATTCTGCGCACAAGCAAAATCCTGCCTTCTTTGTGGTTTGCGATTAAAACATCGATAAACCAGATGTGAATGTAGAAAGTTTAGGATCTGCCGATTTCATTCTGATATTGATGACTAGAATGGTAAAAACACATGCAATTAAGGCCAATTCGTGAAAAACTGCATTCAAGAACACTATGACAAGGGAGTCTGTGTCTTTAGAGACACAATATCGATAGTAGAACATCGACAGATCAATACGTGCACGGACTGTTATACGATGCACGCGTTTCGCAATTGTACGTACACATACGAATGCATATATGTATGCATACAAAACACTATAAATTCCATGCACACATATAATTCTCCACAAACATGGGCACAAACATTATTCCGTACACCTTTATACACAGATGAGCAAAGCTGTGGGACTGTATCATGCGAGTCATCTTCTTGATTACCGGACAAATTTGGCAAACCAAACGGCCAACAAATGCATAGTACCGAGCACACGCATGTATACGAAGCATGCTGTAGATGTCATACACGAGTGTGATAGCACCACACAAAGTAAAAGCCAGATATTATATCTTAAACCCTCATACACTGATACAAACTCATACACACATACCTGTGGGGCAGTATGTTGCGCGCCATCTTTTTAACCGATCCCACTCTGACAAAGTCGGTGAACCCGAAGGACAACAACAGAGTTAACACTCGATCTACAGCAACGTTGGTGTTGGAACTGATGAGGATTTTCCACGGACGGCGCTGGTTATTTGCCTGAGAACAAAGAAGCACACGATACGGCCCGTTCATTTGATTGTGACTACATGCGTATATCAATTTGCGTGCCTGCCAGTTATGCAAATACATGCATTCGCCTGTGAAGAGAGATAGGTTTATGGGGGACAACAGTTTACCCACGAACTTGGGCAAGGCGACGCGTAATCCGTCCAGCCACACACCCATTGCCTGTGCGCACAAGCAAGCATGTACGTGTATCGCATGCGATAACTTTGTCAGCCGGCGCTTATAGGTAAGGTGATGGGCATGTCATCAAACAAAAATGCTATGCTGCAAACCTAGGCAAAGGTGCACGTGTTCCGTCATGTGGTATACTAGCGCCGGCCTTCCTGGATGTGTACATGGGTATGTGCACAACTTCTTGTGCTGTGCAGACGAGCGTGCGGGCGTAATAGCCCGTGATAATAGACAATGGCGCGTGCTA